CTCGAAGTTCTAGAAACAGTGCCTACATGCCTAACCTTGAATTCTTGACTTAGTCACCTTGGTAAGAAATTTAATATCATATTATTCTCTCCTATTTTTGTTATTATTCAGTGCTTGGTCATTCATGGGCAAGTCGGCAGATAACACCTTGGCACTCTCCACTAACTGATAATTCTGGCCGGTCGTCGTTGTTTTCGTGCCGTTTTCATCGCGTCGTTTTCTACCGTGTCTCTTCATTGTACTCAGGGTGTCGGTGAATCAATACGGAGCTTTTCCAGGTTAAACATCGGCTTCGTCCATTAACAGTATGCATCGTGCCGGCATGCTTTGTCGTTTGGCATCGCCAAGCCGAGCGGCCACGATTGCCGTACGGAGCTCATCGTCAAATGTAGGGAAACCACCGAATCCGATCGCTGCCCCCACAACGCAGGTTTGTGAAGCTCTATGACGTAATGAATTTTATTGTCTTGAGAAATCTGTTCTATGGCGAAAAAGCTCTCGAAATACTTCACACTGGTCGTTTGGAACCCTGTTAAGATCCAAGTTTCTTGAGCTTCGAGGCCAAACCCATATCAACTTGAAACAATCAAACTTCACCAGCCACTGTTCCGGAGAGAAGGTATCCAGAGCAGACCACGTTGTACGTTAAGAATCCCCAGCAGGGGTCGTATTGGATAGCTGGGGGGGAGGAGTTGTACTTGATCGGAGAAATTTTTTTGATAGTTGGTTTTTCTTTCCTTTCTTTCGGACGCTATAAGGGGGAGGGGGTCGTACATATTATCGGAAGGAATTCGCGGCTAAGGAAAGAAGTTTTCCTGGTTGTTAGCTTTTTGATGACTTTCGCGGTTTTCCCCGTTTCACATGTGCCATGTACCCCCTTCCCTCTCCCCCTCCCCCTTCCGGGTTCCGCTCGACAACAAAATTTTGGGGAGAAACTGGGAAAATTTTCTGGGAATTCCCGGAGAAACTGGTAGGAAAGTTGGAAACGGGGTGCGTGAAGTAAAATGGTGGAAAGGTGCAAACAACGGCGCTAAATTAGTTTCGTTTTCAAGGATCAAGCGCTACGAACGTCAAATGGTCTGAGCGGGAGTCGCTAGAGATAGCGCAATCAGACTGAGAGCAAGCCACTTATCATGCGTGAAAACTTGGAATGTGTGAAAAAAAGTGATCAAAGAACGCTCGCGACTAGGGAGCCTAGAAGAGACGAGGACATTGGGTAGGCTGCAGGACTCCGTTTGTCTGTGCTCTATGCCTGTGCTTTGGTTGGTGGCAAGAATGCGGGGGCTGGTGTGAGTGGGGAAACAACTTAAGTATCATAAAAAAAAACTCCGAGAATAGATAGGAATCTTAGCGGCAATCGGTTTTTCTCTGAGCGGATAGGTGAAGGGTTAGATCTCCAACTCCACCAAGAAGCTATCTCTCATAAAGATGAAATAAATCGCAGAATTTTGTCCTTCTTTGTGTCTTTTTCTCTTATTTATTGATCTTTGATTCCTTTCCTGATCACCTGGAAAATGGAGGGAACTGTGGTGTCTATTTGAATGGTGAAGAAGTTAAAAATGCTACATCTGTACCATAAATGAGCATTAATGACAATTTTTGAAGGTTCGACAGCAGTCGCTGGCATCTGCCGTCAGCTCGGAGCCATTCATGAATGCCACCTCATCCATGTACATTGAGCAGGTATGCTTTCAGTACGTCTATCTTGGAGTTCCTGTGACATGCCACAGGCTTAGCACTGGACCCTCACCCGTAAAGGGTCAGGGGAGGCCATGTCGTTTGCCACGTCAGTGAGTCAGTGAGATGGCGTGTCAAATAAGGCACTTAGGACGAGTAAACCTGAATAGTATCTTTGCCACTGACGTCTCAAAACACGTCATTAACGTGTTATTTGACGTCAGCGGTCTTTTATCTGTCTCAACAGGTAAAGTACAGAACCGATACATCAGCACTTAGTAATCTTTTTCAGATGTATTCCGCATGGAAAGCAGACCCGAAGTCAGTTCATGCATCGTGGGACGCATACTTCAGGAATGTTGAAGGCGGTGCTGCTCCTGGTCAAGCCTACCAGGCCCCACCCACTGCGTATGGTGCTGTCGGTGTTCCAGGAGTTTTGCCCCTGATTCCAGGGGTTCCAGTCGGCGGAGGATTCACCATGTATGCTTCACTTAATCATTGTTTATCAGGGTGATCAAAAAATTAAGCCGCGTTCATGCATTGCAAATGTGGGTCCATTACCCGGGAGAATTGGCGACGGATTGAATGGGGTTCGAGTGATTGGATCGTGTATACTCATGAATCGCGCGATTCCCCGAATCGGTACATATACTTACTTTTACGTAGGTTTTTGCAGTACATGGACATGACCTAAGTGAACGGGTGGTCGTTCTTTACACGAATGCCTCGTTCTTGTCGGGGAGTGGGACCTCAAACCCCGAAAATGGGTAACACTGGGAAGCGCCTCAGCGCCTCAAAAACTCCCTAAGACTTTCAAAGAGGTGTTCAAATCATTGCATTTGCGTTACTAGCATAAATAAAAATCTTTGAAAATGGTCTAACAGTAAGTTAAGACATCGACGTTATGCGTTTCCCTGCTCCCTGGACCTTCCTTCTTAGCCTGTTCTCCCAGTCGCTCACTCTTCATCAGTTCAAGGCGTGCAGAATGATGTTGAAGAAGGAAATTACCCTTGCTCATCTCTTGGCCCGAAAACCCTACATTTCATCCCGCTGTTGTTGATCCCTTTAAAGTGAATTCGAATGCATTTTTGCTTTTCAGTGCTAACTTTTTATATCCCTTTCTGGTTTTTCTGCGATAATCGCATCATTCAGGCCTCAAATGATGCCATCGCCTTCAAAGGTACCCGCTACAGGACTCGATAGCTCAGTACAGGCGATCTCAGATCATCTCAAGGTTCAACTTCT